AGACTGTTTTAGACAGCACTATTAGGAATCCTTCCTGTAACTGGGGCACTATTCCCAGAAGTGGAATGAGCAAAGTCGCCTGCAGCCTTTGAGAGCTGGAAACTTGAGATGAAAGAAACAGGAACAGGTACAACTGATGGGGGGAGGGGGACCTTTTTTCTAGTGTTACAGTCCTTTAGATATGATGTGCTGAGTACTTTAGATGAGGAAGAGGGGCCTAACTGGCCTTGACCTGCATAGATATACAAATACAAACGAGAAACACACCTATGCTGTCAACCAACATTGTCTTTCTGATTCTTTCCTGAGAGCACTCATCTTCTGAATTAGGTGCTAAAAGATATTACTTTGTGAGAACACGTGGGTATGTGTGAGTGGGTGCACTTTTCATGTAGTAAGGTTATGCTAATGTATGAAAATTATTGTGGTCTAAAAATAACATTAATTAAGGTTGCTTCTTTTTAGTCAAATAGCTGAGCCTGAAGCATTTGGTTAATGTACACAAGACTTCCAAATACAAAGTTGTAGAATTCTCAAAAAGGAAAAAAAAAGTACTCTTCAGTGGGATTCTCGCCATTGTAGTCATGTATTCTGTTATATTGAGTAATGTAAAATCTAGTAACATTAGTTAATGCCATACTCCACGCTCTTGAAGTCTGAGGCCCAAAGGGATGACTGAGCGAATGTGTTTGTTTCCAGGTGTTGAGAATCGTGTGCTTAATTCTAAGGTGTCTCATAGAACATGAAGATAGTCTGGGGCATACCAACCTGCCCCCTTCTTCCTGTATCTGTGTGTTTTCTTTTTTGCCACATGCTTTTCCTCTTCACCTACAGAATGATATTGTGAGCTGTGATGAGGGGACCACTAACTTCTGTCGTGCACGGTTGACTCATGGAGGCTCCTCATTCAGGCCAAATAATACTGATACTCAATTAAACTACCAGAGTTACTGGGTTGTTTTTTTTTTTTTTTACTGGACATCGGAACAAATGAAACAGATGATTATTTTAGTAGCATCTTCCCAAAAGGCTAGAAAAAAAGGGATGAAAATTTTTCATATGCATTAAAAACAGGGTTGCTATTATTACTTTCAAGAAAACTGTTTATGCAACACACCTGTCTTAGTTAGGGTTACTGTTGCTGTGATGAAACATATGACCAAAAAGCAACTTGAGGAAGAAAGGGTTTATTTGACTTACACTTCTCTATTATAGTCCATCACTGAAGGAAACCAGGACAGGAACTCAAGCAGGGCAGGAACCTGGAGGCAGGAGCTGACACAGAGCCCATGGAGGGGTGCTGCTTACTGACTTGCTCCTCAGGACTTGCTCAGCCTACTTTCTTATAGAACCCGGGACCACCAGCCCAGGTGGTCCCACAGTGGAATGAGCCTTCCTCTATCAAACCTTCATTAAGATTTGTCTATAGGCTTGCCTACAACTTCATCATATGAAGGCATTTTTCTCAATCAAGGCACTCTCCTTTCTGATGTCAAGTTGACAGAAACACTAGCCAGTACAACCTCCTAAATTTGAATACAAGAATTTAGATGTGAGCGCACGTGCACACGGTATTTATCAACATCACAAATGATTACAGTGCTGGTGGCAAGAAAATGACATAAAGGTGCCAATGAGGTAGTTTTCTGACAGTCCTTACCATAGCGTCGATGCCAGGGTGAGTGTGGGTTCTTCCACCATATTACAAGGTGATGATCATTGGACTCCTAAATCATGCCCCACTATCCCATCTGGTCTCCATAGGTTTCAGTGGGTGCGTTTCCACCCCTGCCAGCAGAGGCCATAGTAACCTCTCAGGGCAGTTCTTGATAAAATGTTCTCTGATGAGCCTGCATTGTCACAGGCGATTCTCTTACTGAGCTGTCATTTGCGTGAGCACTCTCCCTTAGCTCTAAGCCATTTTTGGTTAGCCTAGGTTCCATTCTGTCCCATTTCTTCTCTAAAGAAAAGACTATTGCAGTTGGTATTCCTCTAAAATGACAGCTGAAGGGCTCTGGCTAGAAAAATAACTGAATCTTGGTGGGGAAGGAAAAGTATTTTTGATTTTCTTAAAGTTAGGATGCAGTGGAATCAATTTTAACCAGTTTCCATATGAGAATAGTAATCAAGTGATTGTTTTCCCTTCTAATTTCTGTTTTGTATTCCAGTGCAGAATAAGGAGCCACATCACCCTCCTGTCTAAGACTTTTAGGCTAGGCACTCACTTCTCCATCCATCCATGATGCCCGGCTGACCAAGAAGACACACGTCTCCTTGACTCAAACTCCTGAGGACATAAGCTTAATCTAAGTGGCCTAGGGGTTTGGTGTGTGTGTGTATGTGTGTGTGTGTGTGTGTGTGTGTTGGTGATGGGTACGGGGTCTAAGATGAGAGACAGTAGGTGACTAGAGATGGCTCTGCCAGTTAAGAGCGCTTGATACCCTTCCAAGGACTGGGATTTGGTTCCTAGCACCTACATGGTGGCTTGCAACTGTTTAAAACTCTAGTTCCAGGGGATCTGTTGGTCTCCCCTTGAGTCCCATGACGTTAGGCATGCATGAGTGCACTTACGTACTTGCAGACAAAACATTCATACACATAATTTTTTAAAGGGTGATAATACTAGGTAACTCTGAGTTCTTGTTAGAAGGCTCATGGTAGCTATTGTTACCTAGAGATCTTCACTGATGTATGGATGAGTATGTGTATAATACATGCATTATAGGCAAAAGCTTAGCTTTCCCATATGTACCAAACATTGATAAAAACAGTGTCATTGTGAAGCTAGTGGATTGCATTGATATTTTACAGTGATCCAGAGATTCTGTTGTGGTTGTGTTAACGAAGTTGCCTTCATCCAGTGAGCAGAAGGCATTCAGATGAAATGGTTTGGGAAGGAAACCAGCAAGGACCTGTCTATTGTAGTTTTTACTTTCACATTAAAACTGAACAAAAAAGAGTCTTGTGTTCATATAGAAAATTCAGGACAGACAGTGCTCAACTTACAGTGACGTACAGCGGGATGTATGGCTTACCTATGAGGGAACGTCACAGAGGTCTTGCAGAGCTATCCCTCTCTGCTCATCTCTGGGTTCCCTCTCTCCTGGACTTCAGCTTGCTTTCTTCACTGCTGGGACTTCAGTGGAAGAGAAAATGTCCTTCAGTCCTCTGTCAGTACTGTTCAGAAAACAGGTGGTTCTATTGGTGTAATGACTTCTTAGTCTGACCAAAGAACTTGGTAGTCATTTAGAATGTTGTTTGATGGGAAAAGTACAATCTAAGATTCAAAGTTGAATTTGGAGAGGAACACACACTTTTGGACCCTGGAGTTTCCTGGGTGCCAGCCTCAAGTAGAATGTCAGTTCTCTCTTTAAAAACACGCTACTTGGCAGTTCCGACCTTGGACATACCCTGTGTTTGAATGAAAACATTTAAATATGGGTAATGTGGTCTTGTCCATCTCGGTGCTTGCTGGGTTTGTTCTGTCCTCAGCATTTATATTAGTTGATTAGACAAGTTTTATATTTCATCTGAATTGCAATAATACACATCTGGCTTGGTTAGGGTCCCTGATCTTCAAGGTTAGGCAGTCTGTGTTTCTCTCTCCCAAGTCTTCAGTAAGGGAATATCACTCTTAGACATCATCTCAGAGACTCTGATGGGAGATGCAGGTCCTCAGTGCCTCCAGCAAGGCCATTGGTGACAGCCACATCATGAGTATGTCCCATTCAGCCTTATTTATGTATACTTTTTGTAGTCAGCAATGCCTGCTCTCAAGACCGTTGTTGACTTCAAAGGGCTGGGCGGTAAGAAAAATCAGCAACTCTAATACAGAAGTGTTTGCTGCAGTGAATTAAGTCACTAGGCCAAGGCACCATGTGTCCAGGCTTTTGTGAGGATGTTTCAATGGAGGTTTAAGAAAAAAGAAAAGGAAAATTTTTGTTAAACATGTTCATGCTTGGTATTTCAAAAGAAAAGCATCGAAGTCGGCCTTCTGGGAAAGTAGGAACTTTGCAGGACATTTTCCTGCATATTTTAAGCATTGGTAATGTTTCTGTTTTGAAGGACATTTTGGGGAAGAGGAATCTGTTATAATATTTTGGTACCTAGGGCTAGTGAAGGTGTTCAGCTGGCCCTGAGTACGTGGGCAGGGGAATGAGGGAGCGAGGGCTCCTCAGCCTCCAGTTTTGCATGATGCCTTGGTGGCTGTGGAGTTGTGCCCGCCAGTATGCAGACTAATGCATGAGCCCCTTGCTTGATGCCCCACATGAAGCCAGACCATGGGGAGGTTACAGTCAACTCACATTGTTGCCGTGTTGTGTCTTGCTACTTTTTTTCTTTCTCTTTAAGCACAGAAATCACTTTTTAGGAGACTGGACACTGAGCAAAGCACTTAAGCCTGCTTCTCTCAATGGTGCTAAACTGCTGCGGTTGCTTGGCTAACCTGGGCCTGTGTCCATTCTCCTGAGGGTACCACCTCCTTGTGCACTCTGTCTACCAACTTTCCACCATGTGAAGTGCCTGTTCCATAGTGGAGTAAGACCTCACACACTCAAGGCTGAAATAGCCAGGCAGAGCAAGGATTGTGCTCCCATGGTGAGCACCTGTCTGTTGCTACAGAACTCTCGGGGCTTGGAGGAAACAGCTACAAGAACTTCCAAGTTTTTCCTAGTTCTCACAGGTGAAAACTACTGTAGTTCTTTACATCTGGTGAATTAGCAATGGTATTTGCTTCTGAAATTAGACCAATTTGTGGTTGAAAATGAACAATTTGAAGTTTTCCCTGATGTTCCCCAATGTGTGTAGTCTTGATGGGGAAATGCAAAGATGTTCCAAAACATTAGCTATTCTGTGTTTGCAATTACTTGAAGACTGCCTCTGTGTGAGTGAATTACTCTGCTCTGGGACTGGCACCGTCATACTTTGCCTCTTTGTCATCTGATTAATTTTGTGGCTTCTTTTTTTCTCTTCCTGCATCTTCTTTTGACGTACTCTGGAAGAAACGTCAAGAAGAGGAGATTCGATCCCACTCAGCAAGGCCCCATCTGAATTCGGCTGCACTGGAGGAATGCCACCTTGCACTGTTGGGTTCTGGGAATGACATGTTTTCGGCCATGCTGCCGGAACTCTTAAGTCTGTAAAGAAGACCCTTGGGTGGTAATGACTACAGAGCTCAAATCTGAGAATGGGGATGGGGTACAAGACAATGGTCCCTTTTGGAAATAACTTCAAGTAATCCCTCTGTCACCTGTCAATAAAGGGGAGGGGGTTAAAGACCATGTCATTAAAAATAACTGTTCAGAATCCTTTATTTTTTTTTCTTTTTAACTAAGGAGAAGGGAGCAGCAACAAGTGCAATAAAAGAACAAATAGCAAATGACCCCTTAGCCTGCCGGCATTTAATATCTTCTAAATGATTTGGCATGATTTCTTTTTCTTTTACTATCAAAGACAAACTCCAGTGGCATGAAGATCCAATTTTGGAAAGGGTAAAAACTGCATGGCAAATATAACAACAAGCTAGCAAGCCAACCTTCAGCAAACCCTACAGTGGAAATTCCACGGGGAAGATGACAGATGACCAGGCAGACGCTGCCTGGGTCTGGATTAATGCCTTCCCACCCTCTATGCCCCCCCCCCTCCACCCTGGCCAACCCTTTCCCTTCATGCCCCTTCACCCATTCTAGACCAGCCCCTAGCTGCACTCATCTGGACTGTGTTCTTGTTGATCCACTGCACCCATGATTTCTCTCCTGGACCAAGCATCCTCTGGAAATGGGAGCAGGAACTTGAACAATGTTATTGTACAGTTCTTTTCTAAATGTAGATGTGGAAATGAGACCTTGAAATGCCATTTTCACTTGTCTGTATGGAAATGTTTTTCTTGCAGAGATTCTCTCTATACTTGAGTTTGTTGCTTGCTCCACATCTTTTTTTTCTTTCTTTTAACTCATTTTCTTTCTTCCTTAGTCTCTGTCCTCTCTTATAACACGTCCACCAGTTGTTGAGCTTGCTTAAACAAGACAGACGTAGCCACAGATGCAGCGAGTTTGGGCACAAATCTAGTATGTTTGAAATCAAATATTAAAAAAGTGGGGAGAGGGACACAAAATAACCCATGACAAGAACACAAAAATTATGTAAATGTGAGTGTATATGTACTGATGAATCTAACATTTTTGATGTCATCATAAGCACATGTATATACTGTAGGAAAACAGAGACCCTTCTCAAATTAATCACAAAAGTGCCAAGCTCATCATTTTAGTTTCTGGTTTCGACAGTTCTCTTTCCCTGTCATGAATGTGAAAGGAGGAGAAACTTAAAGCCTTAAATAAAAAAATTAATAACTTTTAAATGTTGGAAGCTTGGAGAAAGTTAAGCTTTCCATTCTGTTCATATGTATTTTTTTTGATAAATTTCATTTATGCTTCACCTTCCTGCCTCAGAGCCTGTGTGACAGAGCCCCAATGTGGCGAGGCAGAGCAGCAGGTCATTTCTGGTCATTTCAGCTTGTCTTTCCGCATGGTGATTTCGGGAACTCGCCCAGCCCTCAGTGTTTTGCTGGGCCGTGGATTCTGAGTTGTGATGGGATCCCACCATGTATGAATCCACATGCTTTTTTTCCCTCCCAGTAGCTGGGGAGATAGGGTCTTGGCATTCCCAAGACAGTCTGAGTTTCCCTCATCTTCCCCCACTCCTTAAAGTATTGCCAGGAAAGCTTCCATTGCATTTCTAAAGGAACAGGTTACTGAGGAAATTCTCTCCCAGGTTTGTTTTGGACATACAGATGTACAGTGAACACACATCAAGAACTCAGACCTGCCAGAGAGCCCCTACTTCTCCATGGCCCATTTTTAACAAGAAGACATCCAGATGAACTATGCATTTCTTCCTGGCATTGAGTTACTTTTTTACATTTAGCTCTAAGCCCCTCTCCGGCAAGACTCATGACTTAAATTTTACAACATTTTCCATGACTAGAAGGGAGGAGGCTGTCCTAAAAATGGACTGCATGAAACTGGACTTTCCCTCCTCCCCCAAAGATATCTTTAATTGCTGATGTTTCACCCTCACAGAGCAGAAGCCTTGTTGCTATATACTATTCCAGACCATAACTTAACATCTTAACCTTCTGGTGGCTTTCTGAGAAACAGGTGCTATGCAGGTATGCAGTCTTTCGCTTGAACTTCCTGTTTGTTTATATAGTAATAACAGGGCTATCTGTAAGGTTTATTGGCATTATTCCTGGTTCCATAAGACACAGGTTGTACCCTTTTACTTAATGGCAGAGGCTCAGCTTGGAGGAAGGTCAGAGGAAACTCAGATGACTTGGTATCTCTTCCTGTTATTGCAGTGTTTCGGGGTCCACTTTCACTATGAGATACCAAGCAGCTGCCAACCTCACCATACTCATATCATTGCTATTTTTGAGGCACCATGGTGACTTTATCCGACATAAAACCACTGTCAGTTACAAAGCAGATCTCTATAGTTAACTTTTGAACATTTCACAAACAACATTGTAAATGTGCGATGTTATGTTTTAAATCAGACCACAGTGGTCCCCAAATATTATGTACATATGATAAATGTCAGTGTAACTTTTTGTTACACTGACAGTTTCATAGGTAAACAAACCTATGCTCCAATGTTAAATTACATGTGTATATGTAAAATACACAAGCATTAAGCTATGTGTGTGTGCGGACATGAGGGTAGTGCAGTCGTTCTGTACGAAATGGGTCAGAGTAATTTTCAGTGGTGTCAGGTTATGTAATTTCAAACTCTGTGCTGCATTTTTCTCTTGCACATGCCATCCATTTGGTTATTTTGGGGTGTGAGTACTCATTATTATTAATTTGAATTTGAAGCACAAGCCTTCCATTGTTAAACATTACCCAGCAAGAGCATCAAGTGATGACCGAGTTCCCATTTCACCTGCTATAATTTTACTGCGATAGTTAATGACATCTGGATGAGGAGGCGTGCGTTAACTTCATTGCTCACCCAGGATAGTGCATGAGCCCACTGAATTACAGCTACTTCTACCAGCTACGTGAGCAGTACACATAGGTGCATGTTTGAAACACGAATCACATAGAGCTGTGGAGTTTTGCAAGTGATGTGTTTTCTTTCTTCCTTTTTTTTTTTTTTTACTATGCAAAGATGGGAAATGCACAAACTTCCAAGACATGTCTGAAGAACTTTACAATACTTGAATTCTTTCTTTAACCTTCCCATCACACTTTATGGTCATTGATGCTTCCGTTGTTATTTTTCTTTCTTTTGTTCCCTTCAACTTTAATGGTTTGTAATTTTTAAATGCACAACCCAAACTTTTGTTTGAAGTTAAATTCCAAACCTCTTGGCTGCCTGTGAATGGAGATTCCGTCATCCTTACATGCATCTTTTAGTTGACTGTGCATTAAAAGTTTTATTAATGTAGGATGTTGTAGTTTTGTGCTTTGATTGGATTTTCTTGACTCTTGTTCCTATGTTTTCTTGCATTGGTTAAGTGGCTATGTGCCTGATATCTGGGTTTTGGCAGTCACAACCAAAGGTTCACTGCAAATTGAAGCAGCCAATGGAACACAATAAACTCTCTGGTTAATGATAAACATGTTCTGGATTAGGACTCAATTTTCTTGTAGCCATTGGGAGTTCTTTGCGTCATATGTAACAGAAACCAAAAAACAAACAAACAACAAAACAAAACAAAAAACCCAAACAAACAAAAAACAAAACACAGCAAACAAACAAACAAAAACACAAAAAATAACAAGACAAGAATCATACCACTGTTGATTTTATTTTGTGTTTTTAGTGTCTGCCCTCTGAGTTTAAAGAGTGGCTAGCAATAACATCCACACTTTGACTTGGTACCAAATTAACAATGAAAATGTGCACATGTGCACGGGCATGCACACAGGCACACACACACACGTACACACACACGAGGAAGGAGAAGGAGAGAGGGAGAAGGGGAGAGGAGATGAAAGGAGGAGACAGTAACATCATTTTGTTATGTACATTACATCATCAAAAACATCTAAAATAAGGGACACTAATAGCTCATATAAACTTAGCCAGCCATTTATATTCCTCCTGGTGACCGTCTTCACTGTCTCTTCCCTGCACCCTGTTGCCGTGCCTCAGTTATCTGTGTGATACAGTACTGACACACGTAGATTCTCTCTACACTGTTGTCATCATGAAAGTCTTGCAGCCTTCTTCATTTCCTGCAGGGAACTTTCCAGACTCAGTAATGAGCCTGTATGCTGCTGAGCCCATGACCTCACCAGCTTGATTGTCTAGTCTGACTGACTCTCATCTTCCCTTAGTCATCTTAAAGTTCCCCTAAAGGAGCCTATGCTACGGAATCTGAATAATCTTCTCAAATTGTATGTCCATTATCTGTAATTCTTTTGTTACTGTGTAATTTCATGTAATAAAGGAAATGCAGAAATGCTTAAATAGCACAAATAGCATACTTAGAGTAAGCACGATGCCATTTATAGTTGACTTTAAAGGAATGATCTCAAGCAATCTTTCTTTTCAAGACAAGTTTCTCTGTATAGCCCTGCTGTCCTGGATAGAACTAGCTCTGTAGACTAGGCTAGCCTTGAACTCACAGAGATCCACCAGCTTCTGGAGCGCTGGAATTAAAGGCATGTGCCACCATGCCTGGCCAAATGATCTGAATTTCTGATATGCTGCCCCTTTAGGTTATACTGTTTTTGAGGCAGCATACCAAAAGTCTAGTACTGTTTCAGAACCTAAGCACACAGGGATGACACCTCCCTTTTGTGAACAAAATGTGACAACCTTAAATGGGACATAATTCATTCCTAAAAGATACCAGAGTAAGAGAGAAAGAAGGCTTTTTTCTGCTCTTGGGATTCGAAGAGTTTCAAAATGGAGGTGATATTTGAGCAAAAGTCTGTCCCTGTGACACTGGATCTAATGCCATGTTACAGTCAACAACAGCTGACTCATTTTAGTGGGAAAGTTAAATCTCTTGGAGGTAGGATATCTTATAAAGTCCGGGTCTAATTGTCTAGCCCAATTTCTGAGTGTCCTGTTTGTGTCAAGGTTAAGATGTTTTCTAGAACTTTATGTTTTTGGATAGTTCCTCACTAAGGTGCTAATTATGAACCTGCCTACTCTGCTTGGGATGATCAGTAGCAACAAAGACAACTGCTTCGCCTGAGCTGTGAACCTTGCAGTATTTTTTTCTTCCCATAAAGATTCTGGCTAAGCTCAATCAGGAGTGAAGGGGGTGGAGAAGAATCATAAACGGTTAAAGCACCATTTAGTAAGTCTTCCTGTTAATAAAAGGTCAACATCATTTTCTAAGGGCAGCCATACTTTCCACCA